TCGATTCCCCGGGGTTCCCGAAGGACAAGGGGAGTTTATGCCTCCTTTATGCCTCCCTGAGGATCTGGCCGCCGCTACCAGCTGCTGTTCTGCCAGGTGGCAAAAAGAAGCGGCAGGGTAGGAAGAAGGGCGAGAGGTGCGGGATATGTGAAGGAGAGAAAGAAAGGAGAGAGGAACGGACGATGCGGTTGGTTTCTCCAGTGAGTCCAGTAGAAGTGAGAGGGAGAAAGCTGCAGCCAGCGGAGGAACTCCGAAGAAGTGAGACGAGCGAAAGAGGACTGAGAAAGAGAGAGATAGATAGATAGATAGATAGAGAGAGAGAGAGAGAGAGAGAGAATGAGAGAGAGGGGGGATGAGAGGAAGGCGACCCAAATGCACACATATACACATACGAAGTGCAAGCAAGAGAGAAAGAGAAAGAAGGAAGGGGAGATAGAGGATGAAGGGACTACCTCCAAAACACCTGGCGAATATCCTTCTCCTAGTGGCGCCTCTTCGGAGAAATTCCTTCCTTTTTCTCCAGGACCATGAGATCCATGGGAACCGTCTTCGTAGTACGTCGCTCACACAAAGCGTGCGGCGCGCGTTTTACCTTCTCGTCTTTTCTTCGTTCCTTTTTCTTTTTTGCGAACGTGTCGCTACATTGATCGAGAGACATTCCACAAAATATGCTCGGCCGAAATCGCGGGACGGTCTCTCTCGGGATCTCGACGCTTCTTGCGACAATCGGGTTGGGGCCTTGCGGAAAATCCCGTAAAAAAGGAACGAGGGACACGTCCCGACGACCCTACGCTGCTCCTTGAGGCTTCGAGTTGAGAAGATCGATCTTAATCGCGATATATAATAAGTAGTTCAACGGACGGAGCAACGCGTATCTTATCGCACAAGATGGGGCACTTTAAAGGGACTGCAGTTCTCAGGAGTATTTTGGAGAGATGTCCTCATCTAACGCGCTCTGCACATACGGCACTCGTGCGCGGAGATATCTGTCGCGAGGCTAAGAAATTGATTAGATATGCGGTGAGAAAGAATGTCCCGCCGGTGGAAGGCAAGCCCGCGTCACCGCTCAAGGATCTTCGCTCGTCCTGGGAATGCCTCGTGCGAGCAGAACTCGCGTGTGACGCCAGTCGAGAAGCTTCTCGCGCAGGAAGCGCGTACCGATCCATGACGTCACATCCGCCGAATTAATTTTCCGCGTGTGAAACGTGCGTGTCTATCTGCCGGATCGACGCTCCTCGATGTCCCCGACGTCCCGCCGAGAGAGAGAGAGAGAGAGAGACAGAGAGAGAAAAAGAGAGACGCCTGTTTCGCGTTCGAGCGAACCGCTCCTTCCGCCTTCGTCGTCGTTCTCGATGAAGTCGTCGAAAGATTCCATGTAACATCGAGACCACGGCCTAAGAGCTTAGACACAATGAAAAGAATAAGGAATAAGGAATTAAATATATAGGGAATTAGGAGTTAGATATTAGAAATAAATTATGGTTTAAAACACAATAGGGAATTAGGAGATAGAAATAAACTATGGTTTAAAGCACAACGAAAGAAACGTTTTACGAAACGAGATTACTATTATTATTATTTTTTAATGAATTTCTGTCTACGAACAACTGTTATCATTAACACTTTTATTATCTTCCTGATAATTATCGATCGATTCAAACTGACCTTGTACATTGATGATCATTAGATACTTTGAAGGGTTAATTTTCGATTAACTACTAAGCCCTGTAAGCACACAAATTATAAGGAATAAGGTTTCGAGAGTGTTTTGAATCTTTAGATACCTATTCCTTTATTATAGATTGAAACATGGTTGTCCATATGTCAAAATTTCATTTCTTGTTTCTAATGCTTTTAAGAAAGAAAATCAGTATATTGAAAGTACAAAATTAATTTTTCTTTCTTTTCTTTCCCTATTAATTTATATTATAATACTATATCAATAACGTCCTTAGAAGACATATTCCGGGATGATGATAAAAGCATCTCACTCTTTCTCTAGTTCTTTTTTACCTACTTTTCAAATTCCTTCTTTACCTGCGTACCTTCAACAGACCTTACCTTCAACAGACTGTACTGATTTTTCTTCCCGTTAATTTATTCTTTCTTCGAATTTTTCTCTTTTCCCATTCTTCCTTTTATTCTAAACTACCTACTTATGTAATCGATTTATAACTACTTTACTTCCATTGCATAAACTCATCGATATCTTTATCGTTTACATATATATTTTAAGTCCTTAGAGGGCCTTGCCTTAGGACTATTATAAGTGCTTGTCTTTCTCTCTCGTCGTAGAAGCTCATACGGCCGGGATTACAGTAATGACACCGTTGACGGCGCATTCGTTATCCGGCCGACGAAACCCGTTCCTAAATCGGGGTCACGAGACGCGTGTATATTGTGACTTCCTCGTCGTAGGCCGTCGTGACTCACCGAAGTCACAGAAAATCAGGTGTCTCACCGGAGAGCGAGAGAGCGAGCCGGCCGGCTCGTAGCTCGCGGGTCGTTTGCATAATACTTTCGACTAAAGATCGAGCGGCTTTCCGCGCGGCGCTTTTCGTCCCGCAGCGCAGGCGGCCCGGATAAATCCACCGTGGGAATCGAGAGTGTTTTCCTTTTTATTTTCTCCTTCTCTCCCCCCCCCCTCCCCCTTATTTTGCCTTCTTCTTCTTCTGCTTCTTCTTCTTCCTCCTCCTCCTCCTGCCTTTAACCGGCTTTTCCTAGAGTTGTCGTAGAGACACCTAACTGGTTCCCAGACGCCTCGGAACCGCCCGAACGTGTTTCGAATCCGTTCCCGATAAATTCGCGCGGAGATTGCGCGCGAACGGAGTATATACGTCGCGTGTTACCGCGGCGCCGCCCGACAGCGAATATCCGACGCCCTGCGACGCGACGGTCGTCGGATAACGATCGAATAAGTTAATTAGAGGAAGAAGAAGAAAAGTCGCAGGGTCTTTTTAATCGCCGAACAACGAGTCAGGGCCGAGTATACTAATTAGCGATCCGACGATGAAGATGAGAATATCCGGGTGGCATGAGAAACGCGGACGTTCATGAGAACGCACTTGAACCCCACGAAAATAACGTGGAAGGCGCGCGGCGATCCGTTGATCGAGATAAAAAAGAAAAAAAAAAGAGGGAAGCAAGATCTTCTCGCGGCTTTCCGCGCGGCCAGATTTATGCGCGCGCCTATTATTATGACACTCGTGCGTTGTTGCACCTCCCCCCCCCCGGCGGACGAAACTGATTGTAATTAAAACCCGGCTTATCGCTCGTCCAGATCGAAAGCTACCCGGCGCGTTCTCGCCGGATAACTTCTCACACCGTTTATTTCTGGAATTTCCGTGCGCGTCGCGCGGCTACATTATAACGAGTAAGAGCGACCCGGGCTTCCTCGGTTAGCTCGAAAGCTCTAAATTGTACATTCAATGATATCATGCAGAAGCTCGTTCATTGCGACACTCACACAGAGAAGGGTTCCACGCTGCGACGGCTGCTAAACTCGAAAGAAGTAACTGAGAAACGCCGCAGCGGTACACTCGCGAGCGCGACGCCGGGGCGAATAAAACCTCGACTGCGGCGTTGGTCGCGCGGATGGTCGCACGCGCGCGCGCGCCGCGAGGTGAGAATGTGTAATTTCGCGGCGACTCACGCAGGACCGAGATACGGGAACGGCGAGAGAACTTTGTATGCTATTTGCACGTTAATGAGCCCCTCGCACTCGCCCGGCCCTTCTGCTCACTCGGTTCCTAGCGACGTTTCGAGAGACGCGCTTATTACTATTTCCTTTCTGCACGTGCTCGTTACGGTGGCGCATGCAGAACCTCGCCGGGCATGACGACGCTCCGGCAATTATTTGGATTCATTACGAGCAGGAAGGGGACTTCCCTTCGGGGCCGCACCGCCTCGCGCCGCGCGCGGACGTCAGCGCGCCTCGCAATCCGTGAGGGCCCAACAGACCCAAACGCCCGCGGCCTCCCTTCGGCGGTTCGCGTGCTACCGCGGCAGCTGGGAAATCGTTTCTCCTTTTGCCCCTTTCTCTTTTTCTGTTTTCTCCCGTTTCTCCTCCCTTTTCTTAGTTTCTTTTTCGGCGCCCGCAACGCCTCCCTTATCGCCGAGCGAAGTAAAGGCCGGCGGTGGCCTCCCGTCCCTCGTAAAGTCGGAGCACAGGATGCGCCGGACCCACCGCGGTCCCTCGACCGAAGGTTTCAATGAGAGACGAAGGGAGGAAATCATTTGTGTGTGTCGTTGACTTAGAAATTCGATGACATCGAATATAACCGCGTTTTGTTAATCTTGCATTAGATTTGTTGATTGAAATTTATATGTGTGACATTAATTAAAAATACATTTTTATTCCCAATTGAGTCAATTTTCTTAAAGTTCACACTTCAGGTTAATTAAAGGCCAATTTTTACTTACAACCGAGCCAATTTTTCTGCACTTCTCTTCAGGATTAAATTAACTGTTTAAAACGGCCTGTAATTTGATCTGTAAGGCGGAACTGCTAAGGATGCGGCACATTTTTTCCAGGGATAATCGATTCCGAGTGGGTCGAAGAACTCGTGAGTGAAACGCGCACATGCTGTATAATCACGGCTTGAATGAGCTTACAGAGATTGGCATCGGCACATCCTCTCTATTGTGATGACTAAAGTGCGACTGTACACTTCACGCTATTGAAACGGGACGAATGAAAGGCGTCGACAAGGACGGCAGCGGTAACGAAGGATAACGTATCCATCGCCGTGCGGTTAGTGAAGTAAAAGAGAAAGTAGGTAAGGACGGAGAGACAAATTGCGCCGAACAGAAGGACTCGAGGAGTCCGAGTTCGCCGGCGACGTCAGCGAACACCTGGCGCTCATCTGACCCGATAAAGCTCCCTCGATTTCGCCCAATACAGACGAGGAGCGAGTTTCGGGGCCCGCGGGCCCCGCTTCGACGGGTACGTTGAACCCCCTCGACGATTCTAACGTCTACCCTGCCTCTTTGTGTTCCAGGACTCGCACGGTACCGAGGATCCGAAAGCAGCGCCGGTTACTGACACGTCCCAGGACGTTCGAGTACTCTCCGGCTCGCAAAACGGTACTCACACCACCGTGACGTTCTCCAGGAAGTGGCACACATGCGATCCCCAGGATCACCAGCTGACGGTGAGTGACGAAAATCTTTTAAACTATAATATTTAATTGCCCGCACATATTAGAATTGCTAAAGCTAAAGCTAAACATTCCGCCGAGACTTTTAAGGACGTATCACCCATATCTCAAAATAATGAAAAAATTACAAATTGATCTATATTGCATTTAAAAGTGGCACCAACAGTTTGACAGTAATTTACAGCTTGGATCAAAAGTTACTCCACTTTAAAAGAGATTTGTAAAATGAAATGAGTTTGATAGGAATTTGATGATTGGAAAAAGATTGACTCGAGATGTTTGTAACTCAAGTTGACGCTTTTTATATGTGTGAGAGATTAGCGTGCTATTTTCATTTTTATTTTCGCTTAAGAGATGTTTGTAACTCAAGTTGACGCTTTTTATATGTGTGAGAGATTAGCGTGCTATTTTCATTTTTATTTTCATTATATTCAAAATTAAAAATTAGATTTTGGTTATAAAAACTATTATAGTATTAAGGAGTAATATGCAGGTATTATACCAAAATTTCAGAAAACAAAAATAAGAGTAAAATAAGAAATGATATTTTCGTATTTGTAATATTGCGTATATTTGTAATATTGCGTATGTCAACTTCAACGTTTCAAATTAATTATTATATAAGTAGTGAAATAAATATATAGAGATATAATTTTGCTTAATAAATATTATTATATTCACGAGTGGCCCCTTGATACGCCACTAAAAATACGACACTGATGGGTGATACATTCTTAAGACACTTCCCACTCCTTTACACTCAGCATCACCGAACTTTCTCTAAATAGTTTAAACTCCCATGTAGACAGATTATACTCAACTCTTAATTCGTTTTCCGATTCCGTAGAATTTTTTCGCTATAATTAGACAATATTTAAACATTCTATACTGCGTGCGATTTCATGAACTTTCAGTTTTTAATTATACTATTACTTATATACTAATATATTTCACATAAATTTTCTTACTTTACCTACGACATTTCTGCTTAATTATGCATATTAAAGGATATCCTTCCCGTTAATAAGGATTATTATCATTAAAATATAATTTCGAGAGGCAATAATTGTGTTAATATTTATCGTCACGGATGAGCACAATTTTGTGACTCTCGAATGAACTTCTCGAATGAACCTGTTGCTTGAGGAAGCGACTTCCCGAAGAGACGATCGTGCGGCGTCACTTTGTGCCCCGTGAGCAAATAATCGCCATAATCGAACGCAATATCGAACGAGAGATCGCGCGAGTCGACTTGAGTTGAAAGCCGCCGCGATTGGAAAGCACGTGGGAGCTTATTCGCGAGCGTCATTCCCGACGGAGGATAAATCTCACGGGTCCTTCAACCCTCTGGGGGTAGGGGGTCTCCCAATAATCTTACGCGTAATTGAAAGGAGGCACTCTCGGACTCGAGAAGTCGGATGGCGATTCGCGAGCGCGCATTAACACAGCGAGAGCCGGATATTTATCACGCCTCACTAACGCCAAATTACCTTCCGACCTCTAATCCGCTACTCTGTAATTAAAACGCATGCAAAGAAAGCAAATCCACTGTGTACATCTCGCTGTGGCGGCGTACCGTCGGCCCCGAACGGGGGTCCTTGAGAGCCTCGAGAGGAGAGAAAGAGAGAAGGAGGACCGGAAGATTTACTGTACAACCGCCGCGGCTCCGTAGAATTCGCGGAGAACCTTCTTTCGATTTATGCCCGGCGAGCAGGGGCCCCGCGGCTTTAAGAGGCCCTCGGGCCCCGCTGTCTCGAATTCCCGCGGCGGTATTTAGGCGTTTAGCATGCCGTCTGCCCCCTTTCGCCGTTGGCGCAACCCTCCAGTAATCAACGTATCCGATCCTAACTGCAGTCATGCCACCATGATCCCCCCGAGAGATAATATCTCTCGCGTATTTCTGCCCCGCCGTGCGAAGTATTAAAAAAGACAGGGGAGGAAAGAAAGAGAGAGAGAGCAAGAAAAATCGAATCGCTGTAAATCCCGCTCGTTAATACCCGCGAGAGAGACAATGTGCCGGTCGGAGGAGGAGGGAGTCGCTTTCCATGACGAGGTTCCTTTCGATGATCCCAGGGAGATACCATCAGGGTGCTGTGGGCCTTACATTCGAGCGATCCGGAATTGAACATGGCGGCCGGACACGGCAACAAACGGGGCGGTAGGGCTCTGAGGCTGAAGACGGCGGCGGCACATCCGCCACCGCCCAAAGTGCGAAACGGACTGCACTGGGACGTGAAGTTCAGCCAGGTAAAAAAAAAAGCCTCCTCTAATAACGTGAACATCCTCCACCGATATTCCTGTCTTATTCATTAAGCTCGAAAACAAATTGACGCTGATTTCATTCGCCGGTCTAACGATATGATGGATTACACCTCCTGGGAGATATCCTGATTATGGGAAGCTGGTCCTGAAGTAGTCGGTGATAAATGAAGATTCGTCTCTCTGTATGAGCGAATGAATAAATGAATGAATGAATGAAAATGTATCTCTCGGCCCGTCACAGAAATAGACTGAAAACTTAATCCCGCTCTCCCATTCGAGGCCGAATGCTTTCTCGTCCGTTTTCTCGATTGATCGTCGACGAATCACGCGAGTTAATAATATTCTCGTCCGGCAGTTCACGGTCTCGCCTCACATGGACACCATCTACTGGTGCAAGATCTTCCAATCTCCCCTGGAACGGAAGCACCACATGATAGGGGTAAGTAAACGACGATGCAAATTCTCGCTAACAGGTTTCTCGAGTGGACGTAAGCCTCTCGAGAAGTACTCGGGGTCCCGCGAACGGGCCGAGCCGGGCGCTGGGCTGATGGAATGCAAAGGCTGGGCCTTATTCGTATGAGCTTCACGAATCACGGTCATTCATGCCGGACGTCGCGCGTTGCGTAGACGCGCGTCATTAGAATAAAGAAGAGACTCGGAACGATGTCACCGCATGTCCCGAAACGCACACGGACTGTCAATGGGATCTCGCGGGAGAAAGGATCATCCCGTGTGTTCCCAGGATCCCTCTATGAAAATTCCCAGCCCAAGCCCGGTCAGGCTTTCTCTTCGTGTACACAATAACGATCACCACCTTGAATATCTTCGAAATACGAGAGTGGGAGACCGCTTCGAACACCTTTTGTAAATATACAGACCTTTTTCATCTTGAATCTAGTCGTAGAAAATATTTCGATTGAAATATTTTCTTAATATTTCATTAACATTTTATTTAATACATTACTTTTATTTAATGTTAATCTTATTAATATTTGAAAATATTAGTGAGGTATTTTATTAATATTTCGATATCTTATATTAATATTTTTATTTTTTTCAAAAATAATCAAGATGGTAAGAGTGCTCCTAAGTAATTAATATCTTACCTTGTATATCGATAGTCCTTTGATAGAATATAATTCACTCGGTGAAAGATAATTAATATAAGTTCTCTGACGAAAATCGGAGGAATCAAGGGAAGGGGGAGGGGTGAAGGTGAATCGATCTCGCGATCTCCACGGCGTTGCACGTATTACTTATGGGTTCCAGTACACACCGCTCGTGGAGAAGGCCAACGAGGACCTGGTCCATCACATGATCCTGTACGAGTGCGCATTGACGTTGCCGCTCCTCAGCGCCCAGACGAAGCTTGCCGGCGCTCCTTGTTACAGCTCGAGGAATCCGATGCCCACGGAATGGGAGACGTGCCTGCAGCCGGTCCTCGCTTGGGCTCGCGGCAGTAAAGGTGAGTTATCTGCGAATCGAAGACAAAGTCTCGGGATAATCGATTCCTGAGAGCGAAAGTCCGAAGGATTTTCCGAAGGACACGGCGCACGATAGATCTGAGCACATCCGTGTTTAGACACTCCGTATTGCCGGGGGACTCGCGAGAGGATCCTTCGATTCGCCGCGGCGGGTCGCGTAATTTAAAGAGGGAACAAAATCTAATTTGCACAACGGCCTCTTTTCTTCGATGAGCGGCTTTAAGCGGAATTACCTGTATTTTACTCATTGCAGGCGAATGGATGCCGGAACACGTCGGTATACCCGTAGCGGTGCACGGCAATAACACGTATTACATGCTGGAAGTTCACTATAATAATCCGAACATGAGGAACGTGAACGACAGCAGCGGCGTAAGACTTCACTTAACTTCGGAGCTCCGTCCTGAGGAAGCGGGCATCCTCGTGGCCGGCGTAGCGGTGAGCCCCCTTCATCTGGTGCCCCCGAGGCAGAAGGCATACGCCACCGCCGGATATTGTACTCCGCATTGCACCAACACGGTATAATCGAAGATTCATGCATTACACTATTCAAATTGAGCTACTCAAACACTAAGAGAGGCATATATCATCATTCCTCGTAAACATCATTTTCATTTTGCTTTCTTTTTTACTTTAAAACGCTTCGGCATATATATATTTTTTTCAAATCCACGCACACACACGAAGAATTATTTTAAGGATGCACTGTTCATACATCAAAATAATAAAAAATTATGAAAAAAAATAAAAAAACTGATTTACGTTGCATTTAAAAGTTACAACAAAAATTTTACAATAATTCAGAGTTTGGATCAAAAGTTATTCCACTTTAAAGGATGTTGTAAGGCGAAATAAGTTTTATGAGAATTCATTGAAGCTTGTGCTTCGTACACATTGAAATACTGTCGTGCAACTAGAAAAGATCGATCATTCGAGATGAGATAAAATGAATTTTCTTTTTAGATGTTCCCCGAAGACGGCATCAATATTGTGTCGGTCGTACTGCATTCGCACTTGGCTGGGCGCCGCCTCAGCTTGAAACACATTCGGCAGGGAAAAGAACTGCCGCGGATAGTCCAGGATAATCACTTCGACTTCGACTACCAGCAGTCTCACACTCTGGAGAAGGAGGTGAAAGTGCTGCCTGGCGACGAGCTCGTTGCGGAATGCGTCTACGGCACTTTGGACAGGCAGGCGCCGACCTTAGGCGGCTACGCGGCTTCTCAGGAGATGTGCCTGGCGTTCGTGGTACATTATCCGAAGACACCTCTGGCGGCCTGTTACAGTATGACGCCTGTCAAGGATCTCTTCAGAATTCTCGGCGTGGTCAGCTTCAAAGGGATGTCGATGGACGAGCTGGAGAAGCTCTTCCTGACGACGGGGTGAGTCAAAAAACGCAATACGATATCCTTGACGCTCAGTGACTCAATCCACGACAGTTTACTCGGATTAGATTTTAGATCTGCATTCGTTAATTTTGCGAAAATGAAAATATCAAGAAAAAATTAAATATGATATTTTTTCTCCTCGGAAATTTATTGATACGTTCATCCCGCAATATGAATCCCTAGTTTTTCGTAACGTTGTTTAAGATTAGATCGATAGATTTAAAAATTGTGCGAATTGTGTTGCGAATTTAGAGGATATTTTTGACATATGTATACATATATATACATACACATACAGGATAATACTGTTTAATTGAGAATAAAGTTAATTTTATCGTCCGACTCAAACTGTGCAGCTCAATATGTGATACATCAACAATTTCAGAACGGATTCCTTATTGACCAGGCAACAAATCACCGCGGATCCCGCCTCGAGAGCTACAGGCAAGAACAACGAGACTGTCATTAGGGAAACTATGTCCGCGTTGAAAGCGATGAGGGATTATACGGAGGAGCGGGAGAACGACAACGTTTTCACGCAACTTGTCATTCAGGAGCCACCGGAGTTCCAAAGTAACTATAGCAGAATTAATCGCGACTCAAATGATGAGAATACTCATAAGCAAATTTCAAGCATTTTCTTGCACGTCAATGTTTACATCTCGAGTGTTCTGACTAGTGATTCCTTCTCGATTTCCAGATCGAACTATGGCCGAGCATATTTTGGCAATGCCATGGGCCGACGAGTTGTTGGCGAATTCGATAGAGAGGAATCTTTATCAAGGGAGACACATGACGTTCTGTAGGAAAAGAGACGACAAATTAGCGCTGGTAAGATCTCTCACGATTAATTCACAATTAATTCACTTGCTTTCGCTGCACTTTGGAATTAAAGTCGCGACTGTTTTTTTTTTTCCCAAAAAAGTATTCGACGACCAAACATCAAAGTCAGATACCTGAATACATCTTACGCGACTTTACTTTAACTTGTTATTGATCTTGTTGCCCATATAGTTACTTATATCGTCAATTTTATATCGTTAATCTTCTCCGTTAATTTTGCCACAGCCGGCAGATATCCAGAACTTTCCGCAATTCATAGCGCTACCGGAAGTAAACGACACGACCTGCGAGATCTCAAGCGGAGCCCCTCACATCCTCGTGATACACCTGGTCACTATTGTCAGCGTACTACTGTCGGTCTTCATGTTCTAAGAAGGCCCGAGCGAATAGTCAGAGACAGTCGGTGAATGAGCGTTGCATGATTAATGCGATTCGCATTATCAATTAGGCGAGTACGACGGTTCTCTACGTCACAAGTGTTCCCTGTATATTTTCGTACCTTACGGAACTACCCTCCTTCCTCCTTCCGATTAATTTATTAACGTGCAACCCGGTGAACGGGTAACTTCCTGACATGAACGAATCCCGACCGTATGAAACGAGTCCGGAAGGTTCTTCAAGTATTACCTATCGGCGGGACAGAATTTTCTCGCATAAGAAGGCGACAGATTTGCGTGAAAAATTTTCGTCGACCAATGTTACACACTATACGTATATATATAATATAATATAATATAATGTAAATACATTGATTTTATTTTAACGATGCGTACATATTTATAAGATGTATACACTGCACACCCTTCCGTTTAGCATTTTGTATTATGTGTTTTGTATAAAAAAAAATAAATGTCTGTAAACAATGTAACCAGCCTTGATCAGTCTTTTCGATTTATCGTTGTGAAATTTTATATTCTTGAAATTTTTACTCGACACATCAAATATTGACAAAAGAGGGATATAAAATTTAATTACTTTATGGTCAACTGTTACAAACATTTTATACAGAATATTTTATGATATATTATGGCGTGACTGGCAGAATTTCGAATTTTTCAAAATTCTTAGAACGGAGTTGAAGAATTAGCTGTCAAGTGGCGAAACGCGACAGATTCATACGACAGATGCATTCCGAGTGAGATTTGCGCGTTTATTTTGCTTTCTGTTTAAATTCGAAGTTACAAATGCGCGAGATTACTTACGAAATGACCGATGCACTTTCTAATCGAGTCCGAATCCTGAAACGAATCGCGCCCGATCGTTTTATCGAATCACGGTCCAGATCCCCCGGAATCGAGCTCTAACGCGATTTTGAAAGACACTGCCCACGTAACACACGTGCGACCGCCGCATCGTAGATAGCCCGACTCGCAATTTTCCTGCTGGTTAACCCGAACGCATCACAGTTTTCCAATCTTTCCGTTCGCAACGCTGCCCACTCGCGCTTTGTTCACGGCGATTCTGTTGAACCGTGCATGGGGCACCATGTGGTCGCCGCTGATAAGCGGTGAATTGCGTTTCCATCGAATTACCACGCGGATCCCGCGGGTATAAAAGCCGTTCCCTCAGGAGGTCCGGCGTCAGCAACTCTCCGGAGCACCGAGGAAGAGCATCTTCTCGTGGGAACTCTCTAAGCCCTTCGAATCCTTCGCAAGGACCTCGCTCACGGCGATCTCAAGTCCCTCAGGTATGACTTCTTTCGTCGGTACGTGACTTTCGTAGCTTCGAAGCTTGCCGAACGTTAAAACATTAACTCAAACTGTCCCGCTTCTCGGTCACACTTTCTCTTTCAAAATTTCTTTTGAACGCGAAGAATACTTTCTTGGAATATTTTTCCTTGGAAATTGTTTGTAACTAATTGCACAGTTAGAGAGCGTTAACCAAGATAATATTTCAAGATAGGATGCGGCGTACACGCCACATGGTATTGCCTGTGCGATCTTGGCAATACATCGGACTTCTGATAGTATCGTTGGCATGTTTGACGTTGGGGTTGGTATCGAGGGACAGAGAAGGGCATGCCGGCAGTCTCGCAGGACCTGAACTCGAGCATCAGGCTCCCCATGAGTATGAAAAAATTACTTTCCTTCTATTTATGCTTAATTATAAATAATTAGCCATAATTATAAATAATTTACCAGGTAAAACTGTTACACCATATATTTTTATAGTATATCTTAAATGTTACGCTATTTTTTCAAAAGGAACGACAAATCTGAGGCTATTCAATTATATATTTTTTTTATACAACAAATCACATTTGTTCTTGTAAAATATTCTTCTCCAAAATTGTTTAATTCACTTCATTTACTTTATTAATACGGAGGGAAAAACTTTTCACTTTTTTACAAAAAATATATAACAATATTTATTTGATTATATACAGATTTTGCATAATTCCTCCAACATTTATAATTGTTTGTAAATATAATTGTAAATATAATCAATCGCGGATTTGTATTTATATCCAACGAATACTGGTATTTAAGGAATTTAAGGAATTGTATTCAACGTTTGCGTTACTCTTTATAAACTTCCGCCATTTCCTCTATTGTATGTACTACTAAAGATTTTTTACCCATTATAAATAAAAATAAAAAATCAAATAAAATAATTAATTGTCATATAAAGATTTTTATATAAATATAATATTATATAAAGCTGACGTGTTTTCAGGGTGGACGCCTGTCCGAATTTGAATCTCTTCACCGAAATGCCTTCACAATTGCTCGCGAAGTCGGGAGAGGCCGTGAAGCCGATTGACGATCGTGAAACGAGAGTGTCCGGGTCCAGAGTATCATTGACAACTCGTAGATCCGCACTCTCTCGATCTCTGAGTCTCGACCGCTCCTCCAGACTCGCTTCGCGAGAGGCTCGAGAGCGGTCCGCGAGGAACCGAGATCCGAGAGCGGTCGAGAGGCTTTCAAGACTGAGAAGCCGCGCGTCCGACAACGAATCCGTCAACCGACCCCAGGAATCCCGATTCAGGACGCTCGTGCAATCTCGCGAAGCCAGGAACGCGGTTGAACCGGCCTCTCGGGTCTCCCGATCGCGCGACCTCTCCGACCGCGCGGCCGAACGTCGTTCTTCCGAAGTACAAAGATCGCTTCGTTCCGAGCGTCGTCGCCTGGCCGATGGCGACGAGATCGCGCGCCGGCTAAATCGCGTCGATCGATCGGTGGACAACGATCGTCGCCGATCACTCTCGGTCGAGCGACGAATCCCAGCCGAAATTCATCGGCGAGAGTCGCGCGAGATTCTAATTAGCCGCCGAGAGTTCAGCGATTCAGCACGCCGCGTCGATCAACGATTCGAGACGCGAGAACGTAGATCCCGATCCACCGATCGACGCGACGTGGTCGAACGACGCGCGGCCGAGCGTCGCGAAGATCGCAAGAGTCTCTTGGATCGTTCAGCGCGGATCGCGCGGCAGGACAGCGACCGCAGCAATAATCTGGAGCGCCGAAACCGGTCTCCGGAGAACCGTCGCGCTCTCCTGGATCGCGTCGCGAACCGGGAACGCAGATCGCGATCTTCGCTTGCCTCCAGGGATTCTCGTAGGGACCTCGCTGGATCCGACGACCGTCGGTCTCCGTCTCGATCGATGGAACGTGCCAACGATGAGGGATCCAGGGATCGGCGTAGATCGTTCTCTGGATCCTCGACTCGATCAACGGAACGTCGCGAGATTGATCTCGCGGAGCGCCGGAAGACGGAGAGTCGTCTTCGCAGATCTCTCGAAAGAACTCCGTCGCGAATTTCGCCGGAGGATTCGCGTCGCGGAAGGCTCGCTCGCTCGAAGAGGATCGCGAACGCGCGTGATTCCCGCGGAAACGCGGCCAACGGGGAGGATTCTAGAGTCGCTTTCGCGCGGGACGAACGATCGCGTTACGGTGTCGAGGAGACCGCGAGCCGAGAGCGAAGGGAGAGACTCGGCCGATCCTTCCGCTCGCTGGACCGTCGATCGTCGGCGGATCGACGAGAAGTTTCGAAGAACGGAGACGCGAGGAGTCACGATCGCGAAGCGCGCGATTCTTCCGAACGACCGGGTCTGGCTGCGGAGCGCCGGGAAAGGACGAGCCGTTCGTCTCGCGAGGAGCGAAGGGTCGCCCTCCGGGAATCTCGAAGCTTGGAGAGGGACTCCGAACGACGAGTACCGGAGGGAGTATTGGAAAGACGAGTGTCTCGCGAAAGGATCCTGGAGAGGTCTCATCATGGAGGAGTTGCAGTGCGGCGAGCCGCTCCGGTTTCGGTACGACGCGATTCACGAAGGGTGTCCGAACGACGAGTCGACGGGTCGAGCTCGAGATCACGGGAAGAATCCAGGATGGCAGATCGTCGCCTAGAACGAGGCTTGGAACTACTTCGAGCTTCTCGTGAGAGGAGTTTAGAGAAGCGATCGGCTCTTGACTCGCGAAGATCAACCGAGCGAAGAATCGAGGAGAACTCGAGATCACGTGAAGGATCCAGGATGGCAGATCGTCGCCTGGAACGAAGCCCGGAGTTGCGAGTTTCTCGTGCGAGGACTCTGGAGAAACGATCTTTTCTTGATTCACGAAGATCGGCTGAGCGAAGAATCGTTGAGAGCTCGAGGTCGCGTGAAGAAGCCAGGATGGCAGATCGTCGTCTGGAGCGAAGCCTGGAATTGCGAACTTCTCGTGGAAGAGCTCTGGAAAAAAGATCTGCTTTGGACTCGCGGAGATCGGTTGAACGAAGGGTTGTCGAGAGCTCGAGATCACGTGAAGAATCCAGAATGGCAGATCGTCGCCTGGAACGAAACCTGGAATTGCAAGCTTCTCGTGGAAGAATTCTAGAGAAACGATCTCCTCTTGATTCACGAAGATCGGCTGAACGAAGAATTGTCGAAAACTCGAGATCACGTGAAGAAGCCAGGATGGCAGATCGTCGTCTGGAGCGAAGCCTGGAATTGCAAACTTCTCGTGGAAGAACTCTGGAGAAACGATCTGCTCTGGACTCGCGGAGATCGGTTGAGCGAAGAATTGTTGAAAGCTCGAGATCACGTGAAGAACCCAGGATGGCAGATCGTCGTCTGGAGCGAAGCCTGGAATTGCAAACTTCTCGTGGAAGAACTCTGGAGAAACGATCTGCTCTGGACTCGCGGAGATCGGTTGAGCGAAGAATTGTTGAAAGCTCGAGATCACGTGAAGAACCCAGAATGGCAGATCTCCGTCTGGAACGAGACCTGGAATTGCGAACTTCTCGTGGAAGAGCTCTGGAAAAAAGATCTGCTTTGGACTCGCGGAGATCGGTTGAACGAAGGGTTGTCGAGAGCTCGAGATCACGTGAAGAATCCAGAATGGCAGATCGTCGCCTGGAACGAAGCCTGGAATTGCAAACTTCTCGTGGAAGAACTCTGGAGAAACGATCTGCTCTGGACTCGCGGAGATCGGTTGAGCGAAGAATTGTTGAAAGCTCGAGATCACGTGAAGAACCCAGAATGGCAGATCTCCGTCTGGAACGAGACCTGGAATTGCGAACTTCTCGTGGAAGAACTCTAGAGAAACGATCTGCTCTGGACTCGCGGAGATCGGTTGAGCGAAGAATTGTTGAAAGCTCGAGATCACGTGAAGAACCCAGAATGGCAGATCGCCGTCTGGAACGAAGCCAGGAATCGCGAGCTTCTCGTGGAAGGATTCTGGAGAAACGATCTGCTCTCGCTTCGCGAATGATCGAGGAAGGCTCGAGATCACGTGAAGGATCCAGGATGGTGGATCGACGCCTGGAACGAAGTTTGGAATTGCGAACTTCTCGTGGAAGAACTCTGGAGAAACGATCTACCCTCGACTCACGAAGATCGTCCGAGCGAAGGATTGATGAGAACTTGAGACTAACAAATATTCTTAAAGAAGATACTATTAGACAATCCCGTCAGAGATCATCGAGTCTGAATGTCAAGGAGCCGTCACTGAAACTAGCTTCTCTCCGTCGCGTCGTCGGGGTTTCCCATGTTCCTGAGCAAAATCGCGGGCGACGTAGCTTGTCCGCTGAGAGGATACTCTCCAAGATCGCTGACCACGAACGACTCTCCGCCAAATGGGAACGAAATTTGCAGGACACGCGTGTCGATAGAAACGTGGAGGTCAGGACGAAGATCGTTTCCAACTTAACGAAGAACGGCGAATTCTTGGAGTATCCTGTAACGTACAACTTTATTAGGCAAGCTGTCGTCGTCGCGCTCTGCACCGTTTATGGGCTTTCTCTCTATAATGGCGAAAAATCCTTCTTTAGGTGAGATATCAAACCTGTAAAACATCTTCCAAGATCATTTGAAAAATACACCTGACAGTTTGGTCGTTGTTTTTTTGCGACCTTTATCGACGTGTAATCTGTAAGATAAATAAACAAATGCATCGTGTTTTCTTAGGAACAACGTGGCGCAACAGGTGCAACGTTTCATGGCGTGGTGAAAGACGAAGCGACAGCTGGCTACCGAAACGGCAACGACAACCGCTATTTCCGTGGAACCGCTTCTGTCGACTTTATCATTTCGCCAATTATAACGTTACGTTGCCATATGTGTCTAATGTGTCCAAGTTCTCAGAATGTATATTAATGTACAGCTGGTGTAGTATCCCGTAGAGATATAGCGTGTATCTGAGAGGATATATTTTGTGCGAATAAATATAGTTGGAGTCGTAGCTAAAGAGATTCAGGGTTATTCTGTGCAGACACACTGGAAATCCTCCCTCTGTTTTCCCCACGATCTTTCCTTTATTGCTCGTGAAACGTTAAAACGCACATTTGATTCGTTGCATCTTGTATAATATCGCTCGAGTCTCTCTCGTGTTTTTCTCACGAGTATCCCGAGACCAGGTATTAATCATTAGAAAAAAAAAAACTTTACGTCAGTTTGATATACATTCTTTTAATTCTCCGAAAAGCCTAGAAAGATTAACAAATATTAAATAATTCATGAAGTTACGAAGTATTTAGTAAACCACCTCTGCACGCGAGGTGGGTCTTGGCGGTGACGGTTTTACCGGTTAGCTGAGTCGATCGTAAGAAAAAAAATGAAAGTTTATTCGAGGATGAAAGGCGAAGAGGACACTTCAAGGTGGCCTGGCCCCTTGATCGAAGTAACTTCCTTCTTCTTCTTCGATCTGCGACAGTTGAGAAAAATATCGATCCGTCGACGAAAAGATTAACTTTATTAAAGTTATAATTTTGTACACCTCTTGTGTCGAGCTTACATCTATATAGAAAAAGGATGTGATTGTGTGTCACAATGTGACCGAGTCTCAGGAAGACGACCGGTTTCCGGCGGGGGAACGCGGACTCTCGTTGACCCGCTCAAGAGTCCGCCTCACGAGAGGCGGGACGGACGCGAGACGGACGTTCTCCGCTTTTTACCGTCCTAACGTCGCTCGTTCCTGAATCTCGGCCGCGTCGGTTTGTGCGACGTGCTTGCGTTTACTTATGAGCGCGTACAGACATGGCTACTCTCGAGATGAGATCGTTAAGCCAACCGCTAGGCTTGGCAATAGTAGTAAAACTAGAGTGCTTAATACGATTACACATGATACAGCGCGCCTCCACGATTTCGTTGACTTCGCGAACAAACGCCGAGTATTATCCGAAATAAATACAGGCGGTTCATCGCCCCCGTTAACGCCTCTATGTACAGCGGAGTCTCGAAAAATTATCCGTAAAAAACTAGATATCGTTTACCTTTGGAAGAAATTCTTCACGGAGAGAACTTTCTATTTGTCCAACCCCCCCTCCCCCCCCCCTCCCGACCCATTGGCGTGTCGTACAACGTTCATCGCGAGAACGGAATCGTCAATATGAGTAAAAACAGGAAGAGAAAAATCAAATCACGCACGATTCTTCCTCTTAGGGGTGCCAATAAATAAATAATAAATAGATAAAAAAATATTTATCCGTCGTAGAGGTAAGATTTGTTAAAACGCCTGGAAAATTAATTCCTCACGTCCGATGGAACGATAGAGATTATGCTAAATTGGCGGGCAGTGTTACGAAAGACATTGCGCGCATGGCAAGGAAATTGGCGACGAAGAGAGATCGGAAAAAAGTGTCAATTCAATCGTCCGCGTTCGTTATATGTATACGTGTGTGCGCGCTACCTTTAGCTCGCGGTAGCGTCCTTCTCTTTGGCAGTGATCCGCGTCTACCGATAAGTCGTTCGCCGAAACTTAACGCCGATAGACACGAACTCGCAGCGCACGAACGGTGTCGACGGACGCAAGAAAGACTACGAGAAGATTGCGCGTCGTAACAATAATGACGATCTTAGCCTTCCTGGAACAGCCGATGGAGTATCGACCGTTTCGTCAGAACGAACGCGTTTGCGAAACTATACCTCGATACCTAAGGTACCTAATGCCTCTCTCTCTTTTTTTCTCTCTTCTCTCTCTCTCTCTCTCTTCTTCTTCTTTTAAATTACCTAATGCTAAGTCGCGAGTCTTATTTACTGCTGTAAAAGTTATATCACAATATTCGATGACGAAACGAGAACTACGTCAATGGCGCCGCGCGCGATCACTTTGCCCGAAACGATCGGCGCGCTTCGCAGCGACGGCCGGAATCGGCGCGACTTCGGGCGAGGTCACTCGCGTGCTTGCTGAAGCGGCGGCGTTATCGCGCGGTCTACCGAGTTCAGCCGCAGCTGCGTAGGCGAGCAATTCTCGATTCAACGGTATCAGTGGACGTTAGCGATCTCCTGAAGCATCCCTAGAATGTGATCCAGCTCCTGCCGGAAGTAGCAGAGCTGCCGGCTCTTGCCCTTCTCGTTCTTGCAGTCCTTGCACTGCGTCCGGTTTCTCAACAGGTCGCGCACTAGCGCCTGCAGTGTCATCTCTCGGCTCTCGTGCCGTTGCTGGAGGATCGTGATCTTGTCCTGCAGCAGCTGCAACTGCTCGGTTCCCTGCAACAGAAACCGCACCGTGGCGAGTGCCATTTTAATGAAAGCCGTGGCCCGTCTCGTCACGTACCGGCGTCGATAAGTACTTGACTTTCTCGGTCAGTGTCTTCACTTTGTTCTCCAGGTGCTCCCTCTCGGCCTTCAGCACGACCACTTGTTCCTTGTAGTCCCGGAACTTGTCCACCTGCTCCTTCAACTGCGATATGATCGCTCCCTGAGAATTAATCTGACCCTGTCGACAACAATTGGAAATGGCGATATTTTAGAGAATCCTCGGCCACGAGGTGAAGCGGTGCGTTGCGGCGAAACGATACCGAGCGAAGTAATACGGGAATCTTGCTTTCCGTTGAGAAGAAGCGAACGAAAAGGGGACAAGCCGAGCGCTCAGCCTACACAAACCTGTAACTTTACCACCTTAGAGTCCCCGAACTTGACGCTGTACTCCTTCACGAGGGTGGCCATCTCCCGTTCGTGTTCCTCCTGAAGCAGATTCAGGTCGTGCAGCCGCTTGCTCTTCAGCGCCATGAAGTCCTTGTTGATCTTGTTCAGCTCCTCCTTCAGGATGTCGTTCTCGTTGGTCAGCTTCTTGATAACGCCGTTCTTGCTGGTCTCCGTGTACTGCATCGGATCGTACAGCTTGGTGGTCGACGACGACAGCCTCTGCGAGTCGGCGACGTGTCCGTTCTGATAGACGTTCGAGTTCTGGTCGTTCCCGTCGCCGTTCTTCGTTCTCTGAAACACCTTGTCGAAGTCCATGCTCCTGAAGCTCCTACGATCGTTCAGCAGTTTCTCCCGCTCCTTCTGCAGCCTCCTGTTCGTCTTCTGGAGCTCTTGGCTCTCCTTCGTTAACTTCAACACCGCTCTGTCCTTGTTCGTGATCTCCAACTGCAGGCCTCTGATCGTGGCGATGAGATGCGCGTCTTCTTTCGAATTCTGCGACTTCGATCCAGCCTTCGAGCCGGCCTTCTGATCCTTCTTGTCCTCTTTGTCCACCAGCGAGGCCCTGTCATCTCTCCTGTTGGTCTCCACGCCCTTGTTCTCGACGAATTTCACCGTGGTTTGCGTGAACATGTCGTTGTACATCTTGCGTTCCCTCGCCGTGGCTTCCGACAGTTTCGCTTCCAGCTCCATCACCTGCGTCGCGTACCTATCCTTCATATCGGAGAACTTCACCTGCAAGTCAATCAGATTCCGCTGGGCGAGCTCCTCTTTCCTCTTGATCTCGCTCTCGAGAGCCACTATTCTCTCCTCCAGCAGCTTCACCTTCTCCGTGCCGATCTTCTCTTGGCCCGAGTTGGCGGTCAGTATGAGCGCCGACACCGAGTCCGGGTTCTTCCTCTTGAGTATACGCTCCATCTCGCGCACCTGCCTGTTCAGGTCCATCACTTTCTTATTGTCCAAGATAACCTGATCCTTGAGCTTCTGGCTGAGCTGCTTCTCACGCTCGATGTGGCTCTTGCTGATCTGCAGTTTCTCCTGAAGGTTGCCCTCCTTCACCCTGAGCTCAAGCAGTTCCTTCTCCAACGGCAGCACGTTCTGCTGCATCCTGTCCAGCTCTTGCTTCGTCACGCGCAATTGCTCCGACTTCGAGCTCAGCTTGATACTCAGGTCCTCAATCTGCCTCTTTAGGTCCAGCTCGGCGGAGGTCATCGCCTGGAGTCGATCCGTGATGAAGTTGTTCTTCGCTCTCAGCTGCTCCTTAAACATCTCCAGTTCGTCCGTGAGCAGGCTGTTCTGCTGAGTCAGGTCGTCGTTCTTCAGCAGGAAGTCTGCGTTCTTCTGCCTCAGCTCGGACACCTCGAGATTCAGCTTCAACGTCTCTTCCTGGAGATCCTTCACTCGATCGGCCAGCTGATGCATGTCGTTCGCCTCCGACACCGTGCTCTTCTGTTTGGACTGCAAGCTCTTCAGCTCCTCCTGCAGACGCTTCGTATCCTGCATCAGCTTCTTGTTCTCGCTCTCGTATGCGCGGATCAGGCTTTCCTGCTTCTCCAGCTCCTGCTCCAGCAGCGCTATCTTCGTGTCGTTCTTCGTGGGTACCTCCGGACGCCTGTCGTTCAGAGACAGCTCGTCGACCCTCGCCTTCAAGATTATATTCTGCTTCTTCAGGGCGAAGAGCTCTTCCTCGAAGGACGTGCGCATCTCCATGATTTGGCTCTTGTAGAGCTTCGCCTCGGACTCCAGCTGCTGCTTCAAGAGCGCGTTCTTGTGCTTCTCCTCGCGACACAGCATCTTCCAGTCGAACGTCACTAGATTTGTATCGCCGCCGGCCATTAAATGCCTCCTGTGACTGTCGGGCGATTTCACGTGGGACGTTTTGCACGCGGCCGGCAAACTGGACGTGGAGCCGAGCTTGGCGGAATCCGTTCTCGGTTTCGAGAGCGCGCTAGGTCTCGGCCTCGCCTTCTGGACTTGGTCAGTGCCCGATTTCGGGATTGGCCGGGTCGGCATTTTTGGCTTTATCATCGGCGATTTTCTGGAAACCGAGTTCACGGGTCTCCTCGGCACGTCCGACGCTTTGTTGATCCTGATATTCTCGAGAGAAGTTCTCAGAGGAGGTTGACATATCTGATCGTAGCTCTTGGACTTGCAGAATCTTATCTCCTTCTTCGTTTGCTTAGTGCTCGGCGCGCTGACGACGCGTTCGGCTTTGGGCGCGTCCACGGTTCTTCTCGAGGCACCGTGACTCGACGACTCCTGGTAACCTACTTTGGGAGTCTTCGGCGTCTTGAGTATAGCTTCCACTTTTCCTTCTTCGATCTTCTCTCCCGGGGATATGGGTCCCTGGTGCGGCGAATCAGCCTTGTCCGCATTCTCCTTCGTAACATTCTCGTTCAATTTCTCCGCTATGAGTTTGGGTATCGCGTCGGCGAACAGTTCTAATCTCGGCGTCAAGCCCACCGTGTACAGTTCGATCTCGGAATTGATCTTTTTATTGCTGTCGGGCGCGTTTTTATTATTCTCCGCGCCTTTTGATCTTTTGGAGGATTCGTTGCTGGAGCTCTTCGAGAACGTTACTCCGACTGTTGGGGAATTGGGTGCTCGTTTAGGCGGTCCCTCGCTTACGCTGGAGTCGCTCTCGTTGATTTCATGTTCCACGTCATCGGCTGCTGGCAACTCCTTCTCCAATATCTCGGAGAATTCCTTCTCCGGGAATTCGGGGGTTTTCCCTAATTGGCCCTCGGCGGTCGTTAGCACTTCACCGTTAGTGGATTTCAGCAACAGACCGTACACCATATTAGGCTCCTTTGATTCTAGCTCCTTTTTGTCCGTTTGGCCCTGCAGCAGTTTCAAGAAATGCGAGAAGTCCTCCTGCCCGAAACTGGAACTCCCAGACATCCCGCCTTCCGCCTTCTCCTTGGATCTCCTCAGCAAATCCTCGAAGAAATCCTTGTCCACGTCCGTGATCTCCTTCTGCAGATTCTCCTTCTCCATCTCGACCTTCTTTGCGCTCTTCAGTTCCTCGGATTTGGAATGTCTCTCGATCGGATCATCCAAATCGGAACTGCTCGATATCTCCACTTTCTGCTCCTCGAACTTCCTCCTCTGAAGTTCCAATGTCTTCGGCGGTCTCAGGCTGCTCAAGTTCTCGTACACGATCTCGAATCCCGGACTATTCTCCCGTTTCTTCTCGTTTTTCGGGCTCTTCTTTATCTTCTCCGATTCCTTGTGCACTTCCTCCTCTATCAGTTGGAAAATGTCAGCCTCTAACTGCCTCACTCGACTCAAGCTCTCGTCCTGACCATTTTCCGGCACCAGGGTGTCAGACTTGGACGCGCTTTTCGACAGAGTGCTGCTGTTTTTCCTCACTAACTTCTCAGCTTCTTCCAACAGTTCCTCCACGGACTTCTCTTCCTCGGTGGGAACTTTGCTCGAGCCGCCCGATTTGGTGCGTTCAGGACCTGAATTAGGACTCAATGCGCCAGCAATCTTGCTCATCTCTTCCAGTATGCTGCCAATATCTTCGTCAGTGGCGTCTGCATAGAACACAAGCACGTCAAACATACACAAATATTGCCTCATAAACCGTACATGTTGTGTGAAAACTTGTATATACTTACTCTCAAAGTCCGACGGGTACTTATCAAAAGCTGCGGATGCAAGTATGTCGCACAAAGTGTCGTCTTTGTCTTTGACTTCTCCCTCGCTCTTGGGCATGGCCTGAAAAGCAATTGAAGCACCATGTTAATAGCGATGAATGAAAAGCACTAAAAGAAACCCAACGCTTTCAAACTCGTCAATAAAAGAGGCTCGTTGTCGCAGTGCCAATGTCATTATGATTTAATCAATTACTTTGCACATCCTCTCCTTCTCAAGAAATTCTTTCATGGAAGAACTGACGTCCGAGGAAGGCGTAGGTGACTGCTTCATCTTAGTCTCTGTATTCTTGGCACTTAGAACTTCTAAACGCGTTTCAGGTCTCTTCAACCACCATTTTTCCTGCACGTCTCTCTTATCCGCTGGCAATTGCTCAATTTCCTTGGTAGATTTGACTTTCTCCTTTATACGTATTGAGTTCTCCCCAACACTGAGACTTATGGAGGATCCTAAAGTGTCATCTTCCGTAGAAATTAACTGAAGAAAAAGAAATGAAAAGTAGTAGTATTTATAATAGCGATAATATAAATTATCGCTTGTTCTCCTCAACGGAGAGCTCTAATACACCGATGTAATCGCAAAACCGACAATCCACAGTGGTGGATTTAGGTTAAGGAACGTAGCTCGCGGGTACGGTGAAGCAAGTGAAACTTACGTCCTCTACTCGCGGTGATTTCCGGGCACTCGAAGACATTTCACTTCTTAGCTTGAATCAAATCAATTCAAAACACCGCGTACAAACGATCATTTTCGCCGAGCTCTTTGACACCTGCCATACTTTTTGTTTATTTGTTACCTGTGATTCGTCCAGTTGCCGCTTTGACGCTACGGCCGCGAGCACAGCGGCGACAAAGAAACATACCCGTTTGCGCGCCGGCGAATATTTCAAAAAATTAGATTTCATTTTTTTTTATACGCGTATTATACTCATTTTTAACATATCATGTGGGATTTTGATGTGGGAGAAAAAGACATGGATAGGAGGAAAAAAAGAAAATTAGGAATCTTACATGAGGAATAATGTTACGAAGGAAACCTTGCAAATCATTATAACTCCATGATGTATACAATTATATAACATTTATTAATTAATTCAATGATATGAGAAAGATATATCTACTAGATAACAATCTCTGTTTTTTTATTTGTGTGTTAACAGACGAATAATTCGGAGAAACACCTTGCAATAATTAAAGATCGCATAAATTAACGCGGCTAATGTCGCAATAAGCAATTGTGAATCGATTGTGATACAAAAATATCAGTTAATTATTATATCTCGTGATGTAGCAATATTAAAATGATAGTATACTCAGTTACTTGATCATAGATTGACCGTGCAATTGGAGGATTATTTTCACAAAATTTCTTTTGAAAAAAATTGATATTTTTCTTATAACTGTAAGCTCTTTATAGTTCAGTGTCAAATACAGAACCATTCATTCATATATATATATATATATATATATATATATATATGTATATATTCACATATATATTATACGATTTTTTATTTCGCACGTCAAGATTGACATAGAAAATTTCGGAACAGTGTAAAGTATTCAATGATTATCGTCCGTCGATTTGAACATCGCGAAGGTTCTCCAAAAAATCAGTCGTTATTTTTCTACAACATATCACATGGTTTTGTCTCTCGCGATTTCGGTACATATATATATTTTTTCTTGCGTTTCTCATAAAATATATCTCTATATATCTATATGTATATATATTCATATTGTTATTCTTTGAAGGCGATTCGTGTATCACTACATAAAATCTTAAGCGTATGTCGCAACAATTGTCATAGCTTGATGCATCGTAAATAAGATATATAAGCGTGTACATGTCTTTGTACATAACGAACGGTTGCCAAAATAACGGTAATAATATATCATGTACAAATAAAAAATACATCATGTACACAAAGAATACATGATTTCCCACTCCAGTATTACGCTAGAAGTTCCAAATCGTTACCCGATTTTGTCGGATAAAGATCAAAGAAAATGAAAAAAAAATTACTTGTCACGCAAGTCAATATTGTTACCGGGAATACCTTAAATTTACAAAATTTTCAGGGACAGGCACACATTTTCCGGGACAACCGTCCCGTCATCTCCTAGATACCTGAACGTAAGCAGAACCTTTCCCACTGCGAGAACCAAATATCCGGATAATAGAGACCCTCAACACCATCTGCGTATATATATATATATATATATATATGCGTGTACATGTATATGCGTGCACTCTCGATTACACGAAAACTCTCTCATCTTCCTGACGACCGTCTACTATTCGTCGCGAAGTTCTCTCACGCTATCGAGCGTCTCCGTTTCGTTTTAGGAAAGAGTCGCTCTCTTGAATCTCCCGGCATCCTTCGGGCGCCTTTGATGACCAGATGGGCTTGAGAATCACACGATCACGGAGAGAAAATCAATCGTAGTAGCACGCATGCAGCTTGAACAGCTCCATGTTCATGAAGCTAACGTTACAAGTCTCGCAATAATGCTTGATGCTCTCGGCCAGCTTCAGCATCGCCGGCACCTTCTTCGCGTTCTTCGCGACCGCGTCCATCAGCTTCCTCGTGCGCAGCCTCTTCATCGACCATTCCACGTAGTCGTACTTCCGCGTCTTGCCGCTCCTCAGGTAGGCGTCCTGACTCCTCAGACACTTGGGTGAATAATTCGCCGTGGAGAAGCGACCGATCTTCTTCGACTTATTCTTGTCACCACTGGCGACGGCCGGCTTCTTCTTGGCCGGCCGGAACTCGCCCTCGGCTTGTCGGTTCGTTCCAAAGTAGTTCACGTTGTCCCGCGGATTCACACCGACGTCGGTCACCAACATTTTCACCGTACAGTCGGCCGGCAAGTCGGCGATTTTCGCGCGGCCCTCCACTGACGTCACGCTGGTCGTTTCGCCGAGGACCACGTCATCCCGGTCGTCCAAAACCTCCTGCTTTATCTTCAACTTGAGAACTTCTGATGTATCCTTGCCCTTCGACTGCAGCTTCGAACTCCGAGCCACGTCGTCCAGTTTGCGTCTCTTCGCGCGATACGACAGCGAGTCCTTCCTCTGTTCGTGACGCGCTAGTTCCGGCGTCGTACTCTTCCTCTTCGGCCCGCGATAATCCACGACGTTCTTCCTCGGTCTTAAGGTGCGTCCCTCCAGCTCGTCCAGCTGCTCCACCTTGATCTGCCGCGTCAGCTCCAAGCCCGACGTAGGGGTCACGTTCGAGTCGGTGATGTCCGGCTTGTTCTCCGGAACACGGAATACTTTCTTCTTGTTCAGCGCGTAGTTCACCAAATTTATCCTGGGCCTCAGATTCCTCACCACGGTGCTCTTGGAGAAATCGGCCGCTTGGAAGGTGGTTTCAGCAACCGTCGCGTACCTGCTACCGCGGGAACGATCCCGTGTGTTCAGAGCGGGCAGGTCCTTTGTTTCCGTCCTAGTCAGGTGAACTCGCGTCTCCTCCATGGTGTTGAGGCGCGACAGGTGGTCCCGATCCTGAAGCGCGGCGCGTGCCAACACCTTCCTCTTAGCCGAGCATAACCTGGCACTCTCGAGGGCCGTCCTCCGTCGTGGGTCCTCCGCGATCTCGGCGCGCCTGGAGCACACGGAGCCCTCGTAATTCCGGCACAGCCGTTCCGTGGTCCTCCGTCTGCTTTGGTCCTTATCACAGCAACATCGGCAGTGCGAGAACGCCGCGTACGTCAAGCCCTCGCGAATGCAGCCGGCCGGGAACGCCACCGAGTTCGCCATCGAGTTGATGTAGTCGAGGTTCTCGACTATCGGCTCCAGCTCGTACACGTCGTAGTCCAACGGCTCCGTCTTGATGTTCACGTTCTCGATGTGCACCATCGGCACGCCGACTTTCTCCCGGCTGCCGCAGCCTTTGCGCATCCACGACAGCTGGCTCTTCAGCGCCGTGTCCGTCTTCAGGCAGTCCATGTAGAACTTGTGGAACTCCTCCAGCTTGTAGCTGCACCGGTGGCACATGTGCTTCGGCAGCAAGTCCATCTCGTGCACCTGCGGACAGTTCGAGCGCCGTTTTTTGACCCGTCTTCCCGAAAGCTCGACTGAACTCGTCGAGTGACGCGAAAGAAACCAAAAGGGGAAACTTCGGCTCGGGAAAGTTTGTTTGAATCGGCTTTGTTAAGAAGTCCCGGGGAAGATTGATCGCATCAATCCAAAGAGAGAGATAGAGAAGAGGAGAGAGAGAGAGAGAGAAACCTTGATTTACATAAATCAGAGATTTACGGGTTTAATTGGATCGATTAAACGCCACTTTCTCGAGCTAACGACTAATCTACCAAAGTTCTCGTGAAGAAGAAAGTTATCGCGTCGTTTTCATATCGAGATCTTCGATGGCTCCAGGTTGGATTGAAAGCCGATGGAAGCAACTTCGCGCGAATCCTACAGTAATCATGGAACTAAATGATCGAGTTGCGACAAGGGAAGGGGGGAGTAATCGAGTGCATCGTTATCTTAGATGGACACGCGCTTTATAATATGTGTATTTACGTACATGGGTCTGTGTGTGTGTGTATGTGTGTGTGTGTGTGTGTGTGCACGGCGCGCCGCAGGCTTGGAAACTTCCGTTCATTAACATTATCACGGTACTCTCACAACCGGCTGTCCTTGCTAATTATTTCAAAGTGGAGCGGATAACGCGACGTGTCATGGATTTGATTGCCGATTCGTAATTTTCGATTCGGCTCGGCGACACAGATGGGCCACATTCTCTCCCTCCGAAGCGATTCGGTCGCATCAGAGTCGGAGTGAATCATGTGAATCGCGTCATATGGAAAATCGTATCGTAATGTGCGCGTGCTGTCCGCATGAATCGCTCTGTTGACATCATCGGAATATTAAGCGTGAGAGGAAAAAAACACAGCTGTTAAATCCACGAGCGATACACACGGCGCGATGCAGATTTCGCGCGCGGATTTTCGACCACATTAATTTTCGCAAAATAATCCTCAGTAATCTCGCCGACTCGGAGATACCTTATCTCCGAGTTATCGTGATTAATCAGCTTTGGGGGCAACGTTATCGACGAGTGAAACGGGACACATGTATTCCGGGGAGTCGAGTTAAAAAAGGTTTCTTTTCGTTAATCAATTGTCGATCAACTTCGGCAGCGGCGCCCACAGCGGGTAGAATGAGAAAGCGCGATGACGTTGAAATGACGAGGAAATAATCACGCGGACTCGCTTTTCGATCAGTCTCCCATCGTCTCTCTCGGTCATCGTCATTTTCTACTCTACCTAGGATAACGTCTCCGACTGCTCGTTACATCCGAGCGGGAAGCGAGGAGATCAGCGGGACGCGGAGCGAACGCATGAGCGCGGGAAGAGGTTTCGATCGGAAACGGTTACGTGGACGCGAGAGAAAAACGATGTCCCCACGCGCCACCCTCGCGCGAGGCGCGAAAATTCGGCGAGGTCGTCACCAGGCCGGGGCGCGAGACTTATGCAATAACAATACGCGGCGGATTTCGTTCGCGCGCGAAAGCGATGATAACCTCACTTTCGTGACGGAATCGATTGGACCGCCGGAGAACCCGGGCGATCGCTCGCGTCAATTAATCCGTCGCTCGGGTCATCTCATATGCGAGGGGTCGGGGACACGCGTATCTCTCTCCTCCCCCTCCCCCGTGCATGGGTACACGTGCGTGCACAACCTCGGATTTCGGCTCGCCACGCCAGAGTCCCGTTTCTCGTCCGAGTCGCGGTTTTTTTTTGCGCTTCTCGCGAGCCGTACGGAGTTACGAATCGGCACGCTCAGGTGTCGTAGGGCAGAGGAGAACAGAGGACTGAAGGATACAATGGGACAAAGGCGAGAATGCCGCCGTATGCTTCAGTCAAGTGGTTGGTTACGAGCAGAAGGGTGGGCTTGAAACTGGGCGCTATTGTGCAAGGACAAGGGGTATGAAGGAGCGCCTACACGTACATACAATGTACACGTTGAAAGAGCGCGATGACACACGTACCCTCCGGTAGAAGGGAGAATCTCTAAAGGGAGCGCGAGACCGAAAGAAAGAGAGAGAGAGAGAGAGGGAGGAATAGCGGGCGCTTGAATGAGAATAAGAAAGACAAAGAGCGGAAAAGGGAGGAGTGGGAGAGAGATGGGTAGAACGAGGGGGGAGAGAGAGAGAGAAAGACGGAACGTACAACATACCATGATCGGCAGCATCGCGTTGATTTTCCTGACGTGGTTCTCATTCTCGTCGAAGATGTTGATAGATATACCGGACTGCTGGCCGCAGAGGCGGCACATGCGGCTCGACTCGAGTGTCTCCATGCCGCTCTCGTGTCTCTCTCTCTCCCTCTCTCTTTCTCTCTCTCTCTCTCTCCGCTCTCTCGTCGCTCGCTAGAGAAACACGCTACGTCGTCGCTCTCAGCCCTCACGCGGCGAGACGTAGCACGCGCGCGCCTTCGCTCGCTCGCTCGCCCACCCGCCTACTTTATCCGGCTGCTCGTTTCTCTGCTCCTATCTGCGCGTCGTACTCGTGTGCATTCGCGCCCTACTCAGATCCCAAAAAGTCCGCAGCATGTAGAGTGAAAGAGAGAGGAACGGAGGAAGAGGGAGAGAGAGATAATGAGAGAGAGAGAGAGAGAAGGCGGGAAGGAGGAAAAGAGAAAGACGGACAAAGTGAGCGGAAAAGAGAGAGAGTGAGAGGGAGGAGTGAGAGGAGAGGGGACGATAGAATAGAGAGAGGGAGGGAGAGAAGTGGCAGCGTACGAGATAAAATGTATCGCTTTTCGAAGGAGCTGCCAATCTCGCGAGGATTAAGTTGGTAACGCAGCGTCGATCAGCCGGTACGGTGACGAACGTAGATCGACTGTACTGGTCGACGGGCGGCGGAGCCGGAAGTTCTTTCACCACGGTCGAGCGCGCGAAACATCGATCCCCTTCGCCGCCACCCACGTAAAAAGAGCGACCGAGCTCGTTGATACGACCTATTCGATATATCGAGTTCAGTGGGATCTATCAGCAAGATTGCACAACGGGTCAAGCAAAGGATGAATTCATTTTACTGGCGGTGAGTAAGAACGCTCGCTATATATATGGCGTCTCGATTGGGGGTTGCGGTAGACCTGCTATTATGAGAAAAAATAACGGGTTTGGGGGATCATTCGACCCGTTATCTCTTAGCCGATTTTTAGTTTCAAAATCGCCGCTACGAGGCGCTCCGTACTCACGAAAGATAATGGCTTCTGCCCACAGGACGTGACAACGCTTACCGCGCGGCAAGAAGCGACGCGGTAGCCAATCAACGTGCCGTTTTTCTACGAGAACTGAAAGTTTATTAGCTGCCGCGTCGCTTGCCGCCTGTGAGCGGAAGCCATAAGATTCGCTTGAAGCCGCAAACGTTTTGGTATGCTTAAATAAATATATAATTAGTTAATTTATACGGTGCTTCACGAAGTATTTTCAACATGAATAAGTGATCTTACTTCGTGTAATTGAAGATAAGGTCGTTCTACATTAATTGCTAGTCGATTATAACTCTCGTTGCGACAGCCAATCACAAGCGTCAATGGTGCTATTGACGCTTCTGATTAGCTGTCGCAGCAAAAGTTGCATCTATTTGTGATCGGCTTGCAACTAATGTAGAATGACTTTGACAACTCCGCAAGAGGGCTTATTACATATCCGGTCGTCGAATAGCATGTCGGATCGGTTGTTCCTTCTTTTGCGTTGGACCAAGTTTACAGCTCGACAATATCGGTAGGAGCATTTGCAGTTGTTCAAGCGGGTGTGCATTATACGGACTGCCAGTAAATACGCGATAACGTTCATTAATTTATTGATAGCACAGCGATCTTTGGTAACTCGAGTGTCCCGAACGCTTCTTGTAAACCGGTTTTTGTTTTTCCCTTCGCGAGTTAACGAACGAGCAACGATCATTTCATAACGCGTGCGAATGTTAACGATGTCGTCCACCGATGAACACGTGGCTATACGATATCTATAGTATCGGATATAGCAGATATATATGGGAATAAGATATGCGGTTTACACTGTCCTCACGATGCATGTATTATGCTGTTAGCTCGCGGTTACGCACGTGCACGCACGGATATTACGAGACAGAGTATTGTCACGTTCGAGAACAAGCTGCGATTGCGTAAGATCTTGGCTAAGTTCATTTTACACATTTTCGTGCTAAAAACGTCGTTCCATCTTTATTTCTCATTATACGCTGAAGCAAGTAGGGTGCTTTCAGAACGAAAACGCAAGACGAACACAGTTCTTGTGTAGCATGAGCGTGGACGACAGATTGTTTAGAATGAAATGATTAGATAATGAAAATGAAAAAAACGAACATCCACATTCGTTTCATCGTCGTTTTCTAACCTTTTAATGGCAAGGTGGATTTTTAACGTGTTCAGGAAAGTGGAATTGGATTCGACCTCGTGCTCTGTTTTATTCGCTTTTCGTGTAATTAATGGGGGTTCCGTGTAAAATATGAGTGAAATAAATAAATAATAACATGAAACTCTCACCTCACCGTTAAAGGATTAATTTTCCCACGAGCCCTTAACTCAGATTGATTAATATTTCCAGTGGCGGAGCACGTGGTGTTGTCGAATGATAGGATGCAACAAAAATCAGAATTCGACGTGACAGTATGGAACCCATTTAACATCTTTAACTCTGAACATCGGAACTTTGCGATTCTTATGCTGAATCAACCTATACTATGGAAACCTCAGCAAATGCTTCCAATTTGGGAGAAAGGTAGGTAATTATTTAGATTAGGGATATTGTCGAGAACATCATTCTGAGTATCCTTCCAAAGGTTTTAATCGGTGGTCACTGTTTATTAAAAAGTTACATATAAGTGATGTTTTCTAATTTCTTGAATAATTACTGAGAGATAAACAGACTAAAATAATAGTATATATATACTAAACTGAAATTGTGCCCTATGCATATATTTCCAGCATTCGCCATTCTTATCTCTACTTTGCAATATTAGATACTTTGATAACTAAATTAATGGTGTTTTCTTTTTTAATAGTTATACTTTATTTTCACACATAATTAAAGATCGACTTTTGCTTAAAATTAGCTCAGATCACCGTCACTGTAGATGGTGGAACGCAAAGATGGCTGAATTATTTAAAGGAGATAGAAATAGATGTACTGAATGATGAGCACAGAAAATATGTACCTGATCTTATTACCGGCGATATGGATAGTTCTTCAGAGACTGTGATTAAGAAACTGGAAAGTATAGGTTCTACCGTCATCAAGACACCTGATCAGAATCACACAGACTTTACTAAAGCCTTGGTGAAAGTCGAAGAGTATGCCAAAGTGAAAAATATAAATGTAACAATTTTTCAAAGATTTCTTTCTAAAAATAATATTACAAATAGTTATAATTGCTCATCGAAATTTAAATATGCTATATGTGATAAAAAGAAATAATATTGTTGACAGTTGAAAGAAATATATGCATTTGTGGAAACAAGCGGAAGGTTTGATCATATCGTTGGCAACGTGAATACATTATACAAAAGTGAAAAGCTTGTGGGAGATATAAAGGTAACGTAGCATGTACTCATAAACTCGTTTGCATCTGATATTTGACAAAATTGATTACAATTAAATGTTAAATTTTCTGTTTAATAAATAAAATTAAACTATGCTGGATGTCCTCGTTAGAATTCTCTTTAGAATTTTCTTTGTAGGTAATACAAATTGCGACCAATTCTTTCACATGGATATTAAGACGTGGCTTACACAAGATAAATATACCAGAGAAACTGGTGCAGCACAAATCCTGGTGTGGCCTGATGCCACTCGGATATCCAGTGGGACGCATTTCAACGACCGGCTTAAAATGGAATTTAGGTATGTTTTGCATCTTTAATTTATCTCATTCTTAATTTGTTCGTTAGGGGAGGAGGGACAGGGTAAAATTTTCAAAAAATCGATTTTTTTACTTATCTCGGTAGATACAACTTTCAAGAATATTCTCTGAAAGTTTGATGTTAAAATTCAAAAAATTGACATATATAGCATTTTCCACGAAGCAAGACCGAGCGGTTAAACGTTCGATGAGTGCTTAGTCAGCGCGGAGCAGATATCTTTTCTATTACAGGGCTCTCGAACCTATTATATTAGGGCATTATATATGAAATTACCAATTTCGAATCAGAAGTTTCGTTCATTACATCTCAAACCGAATAAAGAGATATCTACTCTCAAATTTAGTATTTAAGGAAACCAAACTTAGTACTTAAGGAAACTGAACATTTCAATAAAACTCGAATTTTTTAGATTTCTACCCTATCTTCGCCCCTTAATAATACGTTTTTCATTACGTTAAATATAAATCTTCTCTCTAACTCTGTCTTATGTTTCAGTTAACGCCTCAATGATATTTGGTGGTTTGGTGAGCACGTCGAATACGTACGACAATTGCGAAGTTACCGTGGACACAGATACTCCTGTAACTTGGTCTATGGGTATCGAGCCTTTTAGAGAAACTGTAAATAGTTATGGAGCGTCGTAACGTTATCTTAAAGGTAGATGGCATACAACAACTTTTTAATATCTGTATCTCTATGTACCTAAGTACTACGTACTTACACATACATTCCTAGTTAGATGATATTATTTGAACCAAATAATGTGTTTTAAATCGTACAGTACTTAACAGTGATTTATATTGCCGGATTACTATTTTATTTTTCTGTATAACGCTAAAGTTGACCGCATGACACATTGTGTAGTTATAAGAATGTATAAGATTTGAAATTAAAAATTTTTAGTAAAGATCGGATTTGTGTAAAAATCATTTAATTTCGTTCCAAAATTTGTTCTGAGAATACTTTATTTTTAACCGTTTGAGTGCTGAATATTCCCGGCGCAAGCAATCCGCGTGGACGGCGCACGCTTAGCGGTTTCGATCGCTGGGGATTTCTTTCGCTAATGTGAATTCTGTCGATTGAAATACGTAAGGCGCAACTTCTTGAATAATACAAGAAAGTTATTTTCGAACGTTAATTATTTTAATTAATTTTACGCATGACGCGAACCGCGCGCCAGGCGGAGCTAAACGCAATATATGCGTCCATAGTTCACACCGATAGCTTTCGCTGGACGCATATATGCGTCCATAGCACTCAAAGAGTTAAATCTACATAATTGAAGATTTATATTTGTTTTAATTTCCGAGTTATTGCCACGTCCTTTATGGATTTGTTCCCGACGTTTCATGAACATTTCAGTTCACTTCTTCGGGGTGAAGTGCGATCCCGACAGCTTCAGGTCGCACCTCACCTTGAAGAGGTAAGCTGAAATGTTCACGAAACGTCGAGAACAAATCCATCCATGAAAGACACTGCGAAAACTCGAAAGCTGGAACAAATATTTATCCACACCACGGAAACCTAAAGGATCAATTGAAGATTTATTTTCGCATCTTCGTTTGTAAAGAAAAATTAGTCGAAAATAATATAATTTATTTATTTTCCATAAAATTAGCTCGACTCACCTATACTGTCGCCTAGAGCAGAAACAACGTTGTGTATGACATACGATAAATGCTTGGTGACAGTGGATACTGATACACCAATAGTGTTGTACATGGAAATAGACGTTAGCAGCGAGAACTTTTTCAATTCTCAACTGAATCGAATTACTTTGGACTGACAGTACATTAGAAAACCTTGCGATGGCCTTCACGTGCATATGTACATTGTTTTATTGGTACGTATATTTCTAATTCTCTTCCTTGGTGCTACACGGCCCTTTGTAGGGGCCTCGGCTACCTCTTTCTTGCATATACTTGTAAGTGCGCAAATTATACACAAGTATATGGGACTTAAACGTCAGTTTAATGCCGATTTCGAACGGCAGATTGTTTGGGATAAGATTTCCTCTCACTGGTTGCCAAGTCCATCGGAGAGGAGACACGAGCGTGTGAAAATATTTTGATTCTACTGGGAGGCGAACTCGGGACCTCTAAGCATAGCAGAACCAGTGCGTTATCTGTTATGCCACGCTCGTGCTCGTATTTCTGATTAGGTGATATTACCTAATAACTTGACAAAATGAATTACAGTCAGTTACAGTTGACGTTTTCTGCCGTATCATCAATATTGTGCAAAATTGCAAAGTGATGATGGATACACCTGCATTTTGGTATATTTAAATTATGTCGAAGAAAGACTGGACTTCTGTCCTGAAGGAAGTGAACTTGATCCTGAACTTGAAACACGATAATATGAAAACCTTTCAATAGCTGTATCTTTATATACGTAAGCCTTTATGTACTTGTGCATATATTCCTGATTAAATGATATTACTTAATGAAATATATAATTTTTAATATTTTATCAAGAGTTTTTAATACTTTATAAAGATTTTTTTTTAATATCTTAATAATGAACGAGTAATAATTTGTATTTTGACTTCATATGCCACTTATCTGTTACAGGACGATGGCCATGGAAGTTGAAGTCCGCTAAGGAGTATGTAAATAACTCACTTGCCGAAGCAACTAGTCCTATGAATGGATGATTCTGAAATATCGGGTCTCTGCTATTATCCATCCGCAACTCTACCTCAGTAGAATTTTTTATAAAAACATATGAATATTTGTAAATATATTGTTAATATATTGTAAGGAAGACGTAATATTGATGATATTGACTACATTGTTACTTTATTTTTTCGTGCCAAAGGATTGTATATATTCCATATTAAATTATTGGAGAAATAAGAATTATTGTAATGACGTATTAATAATTATAAGATGCAAATGTTATTATCTGAAATTAAATAATTTTGATAGAAATCGAACGTGTACAGGTTGTTTATAACCGTTTATATGATTCGCTACTAACACACAAAAATGTGAGAGCTTGCGAACGTTGTTTCAACTCTGTTAGGTTGGTCGCGTTCGATTTGTTTTGTAGGAATGTCCAAAAAAGCACCGGAGTCAAATTAGATATAATTCTCACAATTTGTCAGTTACATCTGAACCTAGGTTGTCCTTGAATCACGATTTAAACTGGGATAATGTTAAGCCTGCGGCGTTGCTGCTAGGCGGCGCATATGGCGAGTGCCGGGCGACGACGCTCGTCAACACGGATGATGACGCACTGCGGGAAGACCGGCAGAGTATTCTAGGGTACTCAGTCCTCCCCCGAGGAGCCTTAGACAACGGGGGAAGAATATTCTCGCTTTAAGCAAGCCTAGGCGACGGCCGACGGCCACCACTAGGCTGAATTTCCCTTAGAGGACGAGACAAGCCTTTTTCTTTTTTTCACGGATGGAACTTTCGCGGAGAAGAGAGACACTCGGAATTCTAGGCCAAACTTCGCAACGCGTAGTTCCCGATTCACCCTCAGCCCAGAGCCGAGCTCTTCCGGTTCGACTTCGTCAGCGACATCGAGCTCCCGGCACACTCTCACAAAGGTATAAGTGCATAGTACCGTTACATATGTATAAATTTTATTCGTTCCTCACAAAGGTAGAGCGTTTGTATATTACATACAATGATAGATACAATGTTCTTGTATATACTGTCGGTTTCAGCAAATGTATATATTTGCTCGAACTGTCAACAGAATTTATCCGTTTTATAGCACACCATATTTTAATTTCAAGGAACAATGATTCTAATAATAATATTATTTATAAGGAAAAGCAAAATTTGGTAAAATTCTTACATCCGCATCCTATTATGTGTTATATATAACTCGGCCAGCTTCCCGATCAAAGGGTCTGAAATGTCTTCGACTGACTGTGTAAAAATAACATCAGGTACGAACTCCCTGTTTTCACCGTTTAAAATACTTATGCCCAGCTCCATCAGATAATTCACCCATCCATGCGTTCCTCGGTTGACAATATAGGTGAGTCGAGCTAATTTTATGGGAAGTCAATAAATTATATTATATTTTCGGCCAATTTCTCCAGAGAATAACTTGAACATCACGATGTTACAAGATGAAGCGAAATTTGGTAAAATTCTCACATGTCTGTATGCGGCTGGTGTCCTTTGAGATTAAGCTGCAGCGAAATTCTTGGGATTCCGACCAATTCCACGGCGACAACTCGCTGCGCCCGTGCTGTTGCTGTAAGCAAATCCATTCAGCTGAAATCCTTTCCCTAAATCTTTGGTAATTGTTATCGAACTCTTTTGTACTCTCAGTGTATTTGCCGCGTCTTCTGTCGAAACGGCTATACCCAGCCCGCCTGTGCTCACGATGACGCTCGGTGCACGGTGAGCGTAGCAGGTTGTCGCCGTAGAATCGAAGCGTGCACTTCCGAGCAGGGCGATCAGCTGTCACGGTGTTTACATTCGTCGCCGGCCGACGATGGGGGACCACCGGGTGGTGGGGCCGCGGCCACCGTCCAGTGCTCGTCGACCCGTCGCGTCGCGCGGTTCGCGTGATCCTCGAGCGAGCGTGCGTTTATCGCGTTATTATCGTCGGCCGCGCGAAGCGTCGTTGCGACGTTTGGTGCGCGTCGTTTCATCGACAGATGCGCGTCGGCGACGCGCGCCTTTTTCAGGAGACCCGTGCGTAAGCCTGCAAACCGGGCGCCGGGGTAACGCGGAAGGAATCGCGGGCGGGTTGCCCCCGGGGGGGGGGAGGGGGGAGGGACACGTGGCAAAATATTTGTGCCGTGAAAATATTGGACGAGACGGCGGAGACTGGAGTAAATTGATGGGCGCACGGTAAATTGGTAAATAAATTATAGCGAGTAGGAAAAAGAATACGTCTGTCACTGTCGTGTCATCGCTCATGTCGTCGACCGCTCCGATATTTTGGAGCGGTGACGCGAGTATTGAAATTTATTAGCCTTCGCTGAATATCGCTTTATTTTCATTCGCGTGCTTTTCGCGCCCTTTTCTACGACGTTTTCATCATTATTGCCATTTACTACCGCCCGGCAAGCGCGATGCACGCACGCACGCACGCACGCACCGCGGCTGTACCGGTGCGTGTCGCTCGCCCATCGCAGCCCCGCACGTGCTTGAGCCACCCCCTAAGTGGGGTTGCTCGAGTGCACGATGAATCAGACGGAAGATCGTATTCCAACGTACTAAAAATAATTGTTATCGCCGCCTGCGACCTCGGCGGTGAATGCGCTGACCGTGTTGAATTGCGTACGCGACGATTTTCCATGTTAAAGCAGCCGCCGCGTTGAAAGATTCGAGTTGTCAGTCGAAGACGTGAGGATCGCGTCGTCGCCGCCGTCGCCCCCTCCTCCCGCGTTAGATAATTCTGCATCTTCGTCTGCGCGTCGCGGACGTCACGGAATGTCTCGCGCGCAGGCGGCACGCCGGATATTATTATACTATTATTATACGTGCTATTATTAAATGAGAGACGACAGAATTCGGTGTGGCTGATAGGGGGGGGAGGGGGAGGGGCGATGAAAAATTTTCGCGATTCTAACGGCAACGGCCGTATGCGGACTTCGTGAATGAGGAGCATCGCGAATAGCACGAAAACGAGCGATCGAAATAAAACCTCTCGAGGCACCGACTGACGGAAATTCGAAATAACACGAAGACGCGGTCTCGTGGGACGAAGTGTTCTCTCTCTCTCTCTCTCTTTTTCTCTCATATACATATGTACGCGTACGCGCGTACGCATACACACACGCACGCATGCATGCACGCACACATTGTGTATATATTAATTTAGGAATCGCTTATTATTATTATTATTATTATTATTATTAGTGTTGTTATTATTGTTATTATTATTAGAGACCGGATTTTAGGCAAAATGGTTTATTATTTAAACATGCCTGCGGAAGTAACATATAAATGCATATTGTAAGAATTAGGGCACTTTTTTTAACTATATTTTATTTTGCTTGTAGTGCCTAAAATGCATAAGATCATGTTTTGTCTGAGATCATTGTTGCCTAAAACATATCTTTATTCAGCCTAAAATCCGGTCTTTAATTATTATTAATATTATGTAACTGTATGTACGATATATGTACAATATATATATAACTTTCTATTGTATTAACTTTCTATTGTATTATTCCATTATTCTTCTAATCATTTCCAACTGTCTTTAATCATTATATGTATTATTTATTGTAAATTTTTACTATTTATTGTAAAACTTTTCTGCTCTGCTAATTTTTCGATGTAATTCCTAACTTTACGTCCTTAGAGAGTTAGCCGTAGGACAATAATAAACGCTTCTCTCTCTCTCTCTCTCTACTCTACCTTACTCTATCCA